TCACCTTGGGATCATAGGCGTCTGTGGTCTTCTCCTTCTCGATCTTGGCCTTCTTCTCAGCCTTGGGCGCAGCAGGCTTAGCCGCGGCCTTAGCCTGTTTCTCTGCGAACTTCTTGGCTTTCTCGGCCTTACGGCGCTCGCGCTCCACTGCAACGATCCAGAGATTGGGTCAGTATAAATCGAGATAGGCGGGGGTGTAATCGCCTATAGTGCGGAGACCATCATGCTGTACGTACATTCCTTCTCGCTCTTCACCTTGGGGGGTGCAGATGGGTCCTGTCCTTCGACAGGCTTGGAGGCAGCAGCGGCATCCTGGTTTCTCAATTGTTCGTCGGCCTGGGGAGGGACGTCGGCGACGGGAGCTTTAGGCTCACCAGCTAAATTACCGTCCAAATGGTCAGCCACAGTTCAAACAGCAATCTAGAAGCTTGACACGGCGGGACAGAGACGGATAGCCGCAACATACTCGGGTTCTGGGGGGCAGAAGGTTGGGCCATTCTGGAAAAAGGTTGTGAAGACAAGAAGGGGGGAGGGATTCTCCGAGGCGCCACTCGCGCCAGTAACTGACGGAATAGTATCTTGACCACCGAGTGACTCACGCAAACACGGCGATGAAGAGGAAGACAAGGAGGGGGAGGGGTTCGGGTCGTTGTGCGAATGCGGGCAATTAAATTTCCTGGCTCAGAGCAAAGGAACGGAACGAATCAGAGGATGCCGGAGCTGGCGGGGCTTTCAGTTGGAACCTCAGTGGATTCAATTTGGCGGGCGGTGGAGTCGAGATCGGGCAGTTCAATGCAATGCACTGTATGTTTGAATATGTATACTACTCAGTATAATGCTTCAACATTGACTAGATAAAACACTTGAGCACTTAGGAAAATGAGTTTTCCTGTTTTACCCGCGGTAGGATGAGGGATAGATATATTATTTTTCTTGTGAGGTGAGTCATATCACGTGAAGGACAGCACTATATACCAAGTATATCTTGAAGCCTACTGGGTAGCCTGTCAACTATTTCTTACAGAGCCTCTGCAGCGAGGGACCCGCCCGAGCGGCCATGCTTTCCAAAAAAGGACTGCTGCCTACATCAGCTGATCTGTGCAGACCAGTCTCTCCCTCGGGGAAACTTCAGACTCAAAACTCACCCTAACAATGCAGTACGAGGCAAGTAGACTGTTGACCTTTCAAACGCTTGAAACTAGACCACACTCCTTTCAATGATGTATCATACTAGAATTGGCATACATATGGTAAACGAAGCTGAAGCATGGCAAGGGATCACAATTGGAAAAGAGATATGCCAAGGCAAACCAACAAGCAGGGTTCCCATCGACACCGGTCCAACTAACCACAAGGACGATCGAGAAGGGTGAAAAGACTGCAGTAAACCGGCGCAGGGAAATGTGGGAATGGTTACGCAAGGATAACGTCAGGTGTGATGACCCTCCTCTAAACACCGTTCGACATATTTCAATCACTGGGTATGCCAAGGGGATCAAGCAGAGATATATTAGGTGTATGTCATCTGTTCATCGTCGTCGTCTCCGAATTCAATAACTCATTGCAACCGCAGCGCTTCAGTTCATGCACGCGTAACGCATCAGTCCAAAGCTGCACAACCCTTCCGTAATGACTCTTTTGAATTGACTCCACCAAACACAGAATGAAGTTTTGGCACTGGAGAGGTTGTCGCCCCATTGATGTAGGGTGTACCGGCAGAGCGAGTATCAGGTAGAAAGGGAGAAAGTCAGGGTAGATTTAAATCAGGCGCGTTCGACCTTCATGCTAAGAACTATGCTGTGTTGTTGTTCCGAGCAGCCTGGGACTCAGCAGCCCGAACGGGAGCAAAATACGGATGGGCCATCGCTTCTTGGGCAGTGAGGCGTTCCTAGACAAATGATATTAGCTTTGCGCCGCGCAGAATATACGCAACAGAGTGCATACCGCATGATCGTATCGAAGCAGCTTGTCCAAAAAGTCAATCGCTTCGTCGCTGACGAAGCGCTGGTTCTCGGCGTTGACAAAGGTGTGCCAAGGCTTCCGAGGGAAGCGCGAGAGGAGATCATCGTACTGAGGATCCAATTCAATCTCATACTTGTCCAGGTATTCAAAGAGTTCTTCGGTTCCAAGAACCTTGGCGATCTTCACCAGCTGATCAGAGTTGCTATTTCCATGAAAGAAGGGCTCCTTGCGGAAGATCATGGATGCAAACATCGCGCCCAGCGACCACATATCCAGAGAGTAGTCATATTCCTGGAAATCAACAAGTAGCTCGGGACCCTTGAAGTATCTGGAAGCAACGCGGACGTTATACTCCGTGCCCTTGTGGTAGAATTCAGCCAGACCCCAGTCGATGAGGCGAAGCTAGGCATAATCAGCAGAAGAATAGACACGAGGCTATCAAGACTACTAACCTTGCGCTTTTCATGATCGATCATGACATTGTGAGGCTTCACATCCCGGTGCATGATACCCTTACTGTGGCAAAAATCCAGAGCCTTCAAGAGTTCGTAAACGTAGAAGCGGACATCGTAGTCGGAGAATCGGGGGTAAAGAGTCCGGAAGTCGGTATTATTGACATTCTCAAAGACCAGACTCGGTGTCTTACTCTGGCTGTCACGAACGACGTCTAACAGAGCTACCACATTGGGCCCACCTGCCAGATTTTGGAGAATCTTGATTTCACGCTTGATCTTCTTCTTCTTGACTGGCTTGAGGACTTTGATGACACACTTCTGGTAGTTGACAACATTGATACCTTCAAACACCTCAGAGTACTTGCCGCGTCCTGCGAGAAAGCAAGTGTTAGTCCACATATCCCACGATGAACCACGCTGGGATGACCCCGTCGACGGAGGTTGAATATTGGAGGGTGATTTCGCCCTTACCGATCTTGCGGACCACCTCGTAATTCTCCAGAACACCCCAGGAGATGTTCACACTGTCATAGTCCCAGTAAGACCGGGGCATATGCTCATTGACATCAGCATAAACGCGCGCCATGGTTGATGGCGACTGGGCGATCAGCTTCGAGGTCAGCCCACAATCGGATAGGAATGGTAAAATGCGGCGGGGTAGGGAGGGGACCGAGGGAAGAAGGATGAATGGGGGGGAGGGCGCGGCGACAGGATAGGGATCGGAAGGACAGACAACAGCAGCCGCAAGACTAGGAGGTCAACAACCTGTCTAAATTGCGCAGCCGTGCTATCGTCCAGAGCAGCCAAAGCACAGGGTAGTATACTAGTAGTAATATTATGGGTGGTTGATCAGAAAGGCCGAGAGCGTTTCGCTCCGCCTTCGGGGTCACGAGACTTGCCTTGTCCTATGGGTGACCCGGGCAGCTGCCGGGCTCGGCAGAATATTGATGCGGTATGATTTTCAGATGCCTATGCTAGGACAGCTCGCAAAAGCACTGTATTAAACTTCAATCAGAAGTCGTTTCGTTCGGGGCAAAAGTGAGATTTTGGCTCAAACGTAGGGAGCTACTCTGTCGCAATCATGTTCTATGATCTGAATGTGCCCTATAGCCCGGGTGATCCCGAAGTTGTTCATACTTTGAACTTCCTTGCAGAACGTGCGTCATGTTCCTCCCCCCCCCGAAAAGGCACGAGACCGGCGCAGCATATTGCACATTTTCTAAGAGCCACATGAAGTGCTGACCTGACTTTCAGTTGGCTACACCACGGTTGCACTGTCAGAGACGATCAATGGGAGATTGCCTCCAAGCCTGACTGCCCCAGCTGCTCCAAAAGATGCTCCCCGGAACCTGGTGCTTCTTAGTCGCCTGAATCTGACCCTCTCCGACCCTGCGCAAAACCAACGACTTGCTAGCCTGACGCAAGCCTTTGACTTAGTCGCTCTCCGCCCAACAAATGAGAAGGCTCTACTTAACGCGTGCACCAATCTGGAATGTGATATTATCTCCTTGGATTTCTCCGCTCGCCTGCCGTTCCACTTTAAATTCAAAATGGTTTCTGCGGCTATCTCACGTGGGATTCGTTTCGAGATCTGTTACGGCCCCGGCGTTACGGGGAGTGGTCTTGAAGCTCGGCGTAATCTAATTGGCAATGCCATGGGCTTGATACGAGCAACACGTGGCCGAGGAATCATCGTTTCAAGTGAAGCGCGGAAGGCTCTGGGCGTGCGGGCTCCGTGGGATGTGATCAATCTTGCCTGCGTCTGGGGCTTGTCGCAGGAACGCGGAAAAGAAGCAGTCTGCGAAGAGGCTAGGAAAGTGACCGCCTTGGCCAAATTGAAACGAACAAGCTGGCGTGGGATCGTCGACATTGTTGATGGAGGAAGTAATTCAGCTGCAACAGCCACAGGACCGTCGTCTAAGCAGAAGAAATCTACGGAGGTCAGAGCAGATGGATTGAAAAGGAAAGCATCGCTTGGCTCTGAGGCAGCAACCGAGGAGAATGAAAAGCCACTTTCAAAACGCGAGATGAAGCGTAGGGCTAAGAAAGCTCGCCTAGGGGCTTTCGGTGGCGATAGCAGTGCTAACGGTACACCGGCTACTTGAGCGGAGAATCTCCCAATTTTTCTCTTCTTGTTCCGAAATGCCTGTCGCGAGGGGATTGACAGGCGTTTGTCGAGAGCCCTGCCGTGCCGAAACCTAGAGCCGAGCCGCACGGCCTTCGCTCCGAAATATCAGCGCGTTACGGGTAGTACTTTGTCACAGGGAATTTCCAAGACCAGACCGCACACTAGCCAAGTGCAGCGATCTCCTTCGAGTCTCTAAGGACTTGTCTTGGTGGCCGCAAAACCTACGCTGAGATGAGCGGTGTGCGGGTGACCGAGGCCTGCCGCCTCCATTCCCCTCTGCCAAGTATAAATACTCTTGGTGACGGTGCAGTGAGTCGATCCGTTCACAGGGACAGTGATCAACTTCATTAGTCATGACTACAATCATCGATATTCTGTAGGCGATGAGACCAATGATGGCCATTGAATGGCAGCGTGGACTTTGATACCGAGTGCAAGAAGCGCACTCTCAGATCTATATCATATGAATCTAGACTCACGCAAAGAACTTAAGATGAACATATAAGACTAATCCAAGCCTAATGGGCCGCGTGCCTGCCCATCATCTGAGAGAGTACCATCTATGCACAAATTCCCAAAGTTGTGACCCCAGCTCAACCCTTGACATATACCTCCTTTCGATATGCCACCGTAAACCCGGCCCTTTCTGCATTTCTGGCACTTCCACTGCCTTCCCTTGTACTCAGCGTCATCAGCTTCAACCCCATGCCTTTGGCAGCCCTCAAACGCGCCTGGATGAGCGCCACATGTGCGCCCATCCCGCGAGACATCGGCACCGTACTATCCAAGTACAAATGCCCGAAGCTCTCCCCGGTAGTATGCGTACCCAGGACCGCCAATGCCGCGGTGCCGACCACTTCCCCGGCGTCCGTCGTCGCGACGTAGAGTCTCGTATCAGCTCTCTGGGCCGCAATCCTCGCCAAGGCGCCCAACAGCTCCTCCGAGCGTCCCCCATCGGCGAATCCCGCAATGGAAGCGGCAACGAAGTGCTCGCGATCGAGATCCGAAGCCACCTCCCTAACCGTGATATCCTTCCCCTGGTGACCCTTCTGCGCGATGAACGGTCCATCTGAGTCCTCCAGGTCCATGCAATACACGCTCAGCCTCCCCTTGGAGATATACCCGGCACGAGTGAGAACCTGCCCTGCGGACGGGTCTGCGTACTCGCACAGATGGATTTCCGGACGCAGACCGATCGCGGCGTAGATTGACTCGAAATTGCAGAGGTCCTGCGATGTGAAGGGGCCGTGGAGCCCTAGCCCAACGATGCGGCTTAGCTTGCCCTCGAATTTGGGGACAGTGCGGATGGCGACGCCTCCGGCTACACGCTGGTGCTGAATGAGAACCTCGCAGGATGGGTACAGTGTTTGGAGCGCCTGAGCTTGGCGAACGACGTGTGTCTCCTCCGTCTGCTCGATTCGAACTACAAGGCTGGGCGGTGGTGAGGTGGCGAGTGTCATATTGGCGCTGCGGTCCCAAGCCATGCAAAGATCGTGCTGTGCCGTTGCAGAGTCCAGCTGGGAGAGTCAAATAAGCCGTCTGATCGATTATTCACGACTCAGAGAAAGAACATGCACTACAGGAATAAACTAAATGCGGAACAATGGACTTACGTCTCAGACCACTCGTGACTCACACTGGTGTGTTAGGAAGAGTGAGGAGGACGAATGTGTCAGGATGGAGGATGGGCTCGAGTTTGGAAAGAAGAATTTTGAGATCTGTTTCACCGGGAGCCATTGTGGTGGTGGTCGTGGCGTTCAGTAAGACTGATTGATGTGCTGTCGTAGTGGCTCTGGTTTGTGAATTGACAGTCGGAGCTAGCAGCACTTGCTGGTTGATTAGTACCTGATGTTGTTTATATATTTGGGTGGTTGATTCAATACACAATAGGTAGATTAGTCGCTATTAATGGGTGAGTAAGCAAGAGGAACCTCGAGTTCACACTAATTACACATTTCAAAGCTTAATCTATGTGTTCCATACTGATTCAGAAACACCTGAGAAGCCTAATCATCTACAGGTAGAAGAGCTGCTAGACTTAAATGTCATCAGTATTATGATTATCAAGAGCACTGCGAGTATACACTATCTACCCACTGGTATCTATAGAGAAAATCATCGTGTCTCATGTCCGTAATAGCAGCATAAGAGGGTATGAACGCGAGATCATGGAAAGGAAGCCCGCCCAGCTTCACCAGCAGAAAATGTTCCTTGCGGAAAATTGATGTGCGCGTCAAGTCATAATAGGTCGTTAGACAGGCAACCATACCTGCTATCAAGATGCTTCCTCAAATTCAACCAAGACTCTCAAATAGCCGTCCATCCAATCCACATTTCCCGCGGACAGGAGTGCAATGGTCCAGTCGCCGTCATTTTGGACCGTTGTTAATCCATCCGGTAGCCATACCTTGAATCTCCAGTTGACCCCTGCGACCCAGCCGCTAGCGGAGTCCAAGCCTGACTCAGATGAAAATCCCGGCAGCTGACCCGAAAACCGGCGGGAGATCACTTGCTTGAGCGTCTCGAGGTCAGGGCACTGGCTGCCAGGCACATCAAGTCGGGAATGTGTGCGTTTGCCGTCCTGAATAAGATTGATACGAAGAGAGACAGACATGGGCGACGAAGGAGGCCTGACATTGCTGGCGGCAGAGGCAGCTCCAGGCATCGGTGGTAAATTGGCAGGCGGGAAGTGCTGAGGTTGTGACACAGACGCCTGATCGTGGGATGCAGCATGCGGTTCGTGCTTCACAGCAAGATTGTCGCGGATGATGCGCGAGACGTCGCGAGTGATGCTACTTGCACTGTGGAAGTCTATTAGCATGGTACGATAATGGAAGAAGTGGGAAGTGTCGGGCGACTTACAATTCGTTCCTCGCGGGCTGTGGAATGTTACCGCCAATCCGCCACCGCAAGTCAGAAGTAGCATTAGCCTCTAATATACGTTGTATATTGTCATCTTCACACTGTGGAGGACACTCATAGCCACCATTGTGAATGACCTGGTAATGGCTATCGACTGCAGCCACCAAGCCCCGCCAGTCCGGCTGCTGTAGGCCTGATAGGTACCAGAGATTGTCAAGTTCGCAGTTCTGATTGTACGAGTCATAGGACTTAGCGAATGCGTTCCAGTCGGTGGTGTATCCGTCCAACAGAAGCTCTGTTAATCCCAGATCCACGGCCTGCGAGGTGGAACCCATGGGTGGCTGTGACGCTGACATCGGGGTCTGCATTGCAGTATAATCATCGTGAATCTGATGATGATGATGCTGGGTATGCAGTTGTAGATGGTCCTCAGTTGGCGTGTGCGCATTGAGATTTTGCAGGCTGTCCTCAGTCTTCCGTCGCCGTCGCTCCTCTGCTCCGCCGCCTTTCCTCGTCTCGACAGCATACTGACGCTGTCGCTCGTTCGTTACCATTCGCCGTAACAAAGGTATCACCAGTGAGATGATCTTCTGTTGATCCCGGGGCCAGATGTATGCCCTGGGCCCCATGCCTTCATTGACCACATCTTCTCCAAAGAACCGCTCGCCATGACCCTCACCCTCGAGGAAATGACGTACGCAATTCCATAGCCGCAGCTTGACCATCTCTGTATCCCCCTTACCGCGTTGACCTACACAGTCACGGCGCTCAGGATGACGATCATCAAGCATGTATGCTTTAGCTGCTGCTTGAAGATGCAAGAAGTTTTCTGGAGAAAGCTCGAGGGAGGAGAACAATTTGGACATGGGTGGACGAGTGTATTTCTTGTTACTGGAGGGCTGGCGAAAGAGGGCAGCTGCCGAGTGCAAGCCCACCGCCCGAGCTTCAGATAGTGATTGTGGCGGGGCGCCTCGAAGATCTAGCCCATCACCGCCGTAATGATGTGGATGCTGCTGCGGATGCTGCTGCTGCTGATGTGGGTGGTGACTATGGTGGTGTGATTGCTGGTCCCCTGCTAGACCGACATGGCCCCCTCCTGTCAATGCGGGATCGAGAGCATCTTCGTTTCTCTTCCTCTTCTTCGTGCCAACTCGGGTCAACCCAGAGGTTTGAGCGTGTTCATTCACCGGGGCTGATCCGGGTCCTCGCAGACCCCGCCCGCCGTTGATCCCAGCGGTAAAGCTTGTGTCTGCAAAGCTGTCATCATCCATATGTATGTCCGGTCCATAGCCCTCTAGGTGATGTGTATTCCCAGCCGCCCCAGCCGCAGCGGCGACTGCAGCGGCCGCAGCCCATTCCGAGACGTCTTGTCCTGCAGCCGCTGTGGCAGCCTCCACCAGCCCAGCTAGTTGATTTTCGCTAGGCGCATACCCACTCGTTCCAAGGTGCGCGTTGGGGTCAACATTCGAAGTCGTGGTTGATGTAGCTGGAAATTCGGCCGCCGACGTTGACGGCTGATGGTGGCTTGGGGTGGATGCCGAAGTCATGATGGCATATAGCGAGCGTGATTATATTTGCCGCTATGGGCTCACAGAGCTTGTCCGACAAGATTGTACTGTTTGAGTTCCTTGGCCAAGTCTTACCATGCGAACTGTTGCAGAGTTCCGTGGGCAAAAGCGACAGGCGTGCGCCGGTGAATTGACGGATTGGAGAAGACGATAATGCATACACAGCCTAGTCGTTCTTGTCGCAATTTGCCGGAAAAAAGAAGCGGACCGCAGTATAGTTGAATGGGAAGATTATGGGAGCAAAACCATAAGGATCTAGTATCAATACAACCGGAGCGTGGACACGCGCAGTGTGCTGGGTATTATGTTAGGCGGATCTGAATTTGGAGGGACCCTTGCGGGCAAGCCTAGCCCTGAGGAAGGGGACGGCAGCCTAATAGCGCGCTGATACCCACAGGTCCGTCGACTGAATGGGAAGCTCAGCTCCCACTGGACTTCAAGCGTGCGCAACTCGCGATGATCGATGAAGCTATCCGGAAGGATGACGCTGTTTGGCTGGTTTGAAGGAAGTACAGACAGTGCAAACTCTGCAGGGAACGACGGACGGACGCCGTCGCGACTGCCGCACCGAGTTAGCGTGGAAGGTGGAGCATTAGATATCACATGATCACTACTTTGTAGTAATCATATGTACGAAACTCATCCGTCCATTTGCCGTCGCATGCTCGCTCAGTCTAGGAGAAGTTCATTCTATTTGCTGAAAATCTTCTTTTGCGGATCTGGCAATCTGGGCCAGCCCAAGTGCACAGATCAATTGACGCACATGATACAAGTATTGGAACCGCACGCTTGCCATAAATATCTAAACATGATTCGCCAGTATCCCAAAACCATATCAGCCAAAAAAAAAAAAGAGCCAAAACAATTGAAGAGCAAATTATTGTACCCATGTCAGCACATAATGAACCGCACCCCAAGGAGGATGCAGGTGATGACCGAGCATCAACGTGCCGAGTCTCCGTCAAATTAGAAACCATCTCCTTCTTTCCACATTCTCCCGACCTCCGCAGCTCGGGCTCTAGGATCCTGGCCTCGGTCGGTGGCATTGACGAACAGCTCGAGGATCAGTGCTTCTTCGAGCTCAAGTTGTTCTTCCAGAGTGATGTCCTTTCCAGGCTCGGGAAAGTCTAATTGGCTTTCTTCGCCCAGGTGTCCATGCATCCGAGTGAGCTCAATCAAGTCTGCCCTTACAGACCACCCCTGAAGTGCCTCCTCTAATTCGGATTTAGCCGTGTTATGGTCGCGAAAATCATTATACTCGTCTTCACCACCGAAGCAGATCCCAAACCCATCGCAGTAGCAGATATGTTCCTTGACACAAACAACATTCTCGCCGGTGAAAACGACCTGCCACAGATATTCCCAGATACGACCGGAAATGTAGTCACTGAGTTCGGTCCGGAGCATCCAGTCGCGGAAATACACGAATCGAGCTCGGGGTATGGCTAGGATGCGCTCGCGCGAGACGGCGAATTGAGCACAGCAGGGCTGAGATAAGACTTCAGGGATCGGGTCATCGGGGAAGATCTCGCCCCAGGCTCGAGCAAGCATGACCTCCTCCTGTTTGGTTTGATCTTCAACTAAGGTGCCAGGATGCAACCAATCCGGACAACCGGGGCTCCAAGTGCAGCGCAGATTCACATAACCCTGCCTGATAACCCAGGCCGGATTCAGACGCCGCAGCAACTCGGACGCATCGCCGTTGAAAAGGTCATCGTTGTGCCATGCGAATTGATGCGAATGCATGAACGCAATGATGTCTGGGAGTTTGTCGTAGTGCTCGATGATGTAGCTTAGGTAGACCATCACCTCATGCCCTTTGTTTTTGGGTGGATGGTAAGGTGCCGACGGATCATTTACGGCGTAAACGGCCGACTGCCAGTCTGGCAATTCAAATTCGATCCAGGTGGTGTCCTCCCCCTCTGCCTGAGGCACAACTAGTATCTTGCTGTACGTCGCGCCAGGCGCTTTAGGGACACCAGGAGCAAAGCGTGGTTTGGCGGCGTATGGCGTCCGTGTGGGAGTATCTTCAAACACCCGGGTGAGATTATAACGCAAGGATGGTGTGGGCGAGGGTGTTGCGAACGGCCTGTTCAAGCCCACGGGTTGCGGGATTGGCTCCCATTGTGCAGAGAGAGTGTAGAAGGCGAACAGGGCCGAGAGGATGAAGGCGAAGCCGAGAAGGGGCACCAGGCGGCGTGAGGAGATCATCGATCACGGAATGGAAGCGAGTAGTAAATGGAAGAAAATACTAAGGCAATGCGATATTGGGAGGCTTGTCAGTAAGTATTATCGGAAGAGACAGAAGGCGTGGTGGACGGATATGTTTTAAGCTTTTGGTGCCTGAGTTGGTTCCAGACCATGCAGACAGGCACCGGGGCCCGCACTCTTTACTCACAAGAAGGGCCGGAAGGCTACACGATAAAGATAATAGCCATGGATCAGAGCCTTGAAGACAGTAAGAAGAGTAAATTGCGGTCAAGAACTCGGAATTGGTGGGAAAATAACCCCCGCGATCGCAGGTAGCGGCGAGAAGCTGGCAGGTCGGTCTGTACTGTACGGGGGGAAGTTGTCTCTGAACTGGAGTTCTCCGTACTTCAACGAAAATGGCCCATGAGCCAGGGAGGGTGAAACAAGATTATTATGGTAGTCTAAGAATAAAGTAATGTAAGACGGCCCTAAGACATCCAGGCGATCGTGGAGTGGTCACTGCATACACGAACGAGGATTGGTGGGTTGGAGGCAGAATGGAACATGAAACCGGGCTGGAAGAACGAGGCATACGCAAATGATGGCGCAGAAGAGCGGGCGGGCGGAGGCGGAGCTGGCGTCAGCAATCGGGGCTGACGACGAGACTGTACCCGCTAGACGATTGAACCCTCTTTCCTCCCCAGATCGGCACATGTCAGTCGCGTCGCATTTACTACGTGAGTATGTATGTCTTTCTCACTCCCTTGGTAAAACTCATCCGCTTTGACCATGGAAGCACCTCAATTTATTAGTTACTACAGTACTGTACTGTACACAATACCTTCGGCGGAAGTCTAGATGCGAGGCAGCGATTTCCCCTCCGACCAATTGCCGTCCGAACCACAGGCTGCAGCTGCACCTCGGTGTCTCCACCTTTATTTCAACATCGTCGATCGTCGTCCGAGGTCTGCGACGTACGAGTATAAAAAGGGCAGATTGTAGGAGGTCGAACACGCGCAGACAATGAATGGTACCTGATTACTAGCAAAGCAAGGTTAACTGCACAAATGCTTCATCCCGGATCTGTACATACAAAAAGAAGACTCACGTGCCAGGGTACGAGCAGTAAAACATAAGTCGACTCCGACAGGAGGCACTTGGCAAAAATTCGTAATTGAGAGGTAGCTGGGTATGAATATGACTCGCTTCGAAAACGCCAGAAAACAAGGACATCCTATGGAGAAGAATGGGGGGATGTTGACAACACCATTGTGATGATACATAAGCCAAGAACAGAGTAGATTTGGTAGAATGGAAGTGTACTGGGTGACATATGGCAGAGGTTATGAAATGGGAGAGGGGAGTGAGTATCTATCTATCACTCGTCATCGCCATCGAGTACATCCTCTACTGTCGCGACCCGCGCCTTTCCTCTTGAGGGCGATCCCGACGACGATCCCGACCCCTGCTCACGCTCGGAACGTTCTGTATCGCCAGCCTGTGTCTCGGAGGCCAGGTCGGTCCATTGCTGGGACAGTGACTCGATACCAGTATGGGCTGATGCAGGAGTCGCGGCAGAATGCCAGTTTGGCAGATCCTGCGGTACGGAGGGGCCCGGAACAGCCGCGGTCTCTTGGACCGAACTTGGATTGTGGGATTCGTTCTCGGTCATGAGAGGTGCCGGGGGTATGATTGTCTCTGAAGCAGTAGTAGGAATGGAGGAGTTATCCACTGGTGTAGATCCTTGGCCAGGTGAGTGCAGAGGTATCAGAGACCAGCCGTCAGGAAGAATTAACCCGTCTGGTAGTCGAGAGTCCCCAGCCCTTATGGCAGGTGTTTCAGGGTCTGACACGAATCCATGATGCTCGGCTGTGGATGCCACAGAATCCGACAATAGGGAACTTGAGAGACCCTGTTGAGATTCAATGGATTCAGCGGAAAGGCTGCGGAGCCGCTGCAGCTCCGTTTGCAGCATTCTCACAAGTTGAAGTTGCTGAGTTGTGACACGTAGGCTGCTGATTTCTTGCAGGATCTGCTGTTCCACTTGCTGCAACTGATTTTGTAGATGAGCCACACTCGAAGCTGGGTTTGGAACTGTTGGAGTCGCCGGCGGTTGCCCAAACCCGAGTCCGAACCCTATCTGTCGAGCATTAGGCGCAATAGCATCGTTTGGCTGCTGCAATGGTACATTTCCCTGGTGAATTTGCTGCTGAAGATTGCGAAAAAGATCGCCTCTTCCTGCACCAAAGCCGATTCGGAAAGGTCCGAATTGATAAATTCGGGCTCGCGGTAATCCCTCCACTGGCGCGTTTCGACCGAATGCTTGATTACCAAAAGGCTGGTTTTGCTGCCCACCAGCATCGCCCCCTGGGTTGCGGTTGCCAGCGTCGCCGTGTCCTCGTGGTTGGGGTTGAGCAACGACTGGGCGTCGACAAGTCGGGCAATTCTGCTGCCTTTCCAGCCAGCTTCGAAGACAAGCAAAATGTAAAATGTGGCCACAGGGGAGTTTCTTTGGACGAAGGCGGTCAGATACCCGACCTTGCTGTTGTGCACCTTCCCCTCTCTCCCCAGCCCGGTGCCACTGGGTCATCTCCTCGCGGCAAATGATGCACACTTCCTCCCGAGCGACCTCCTCAGCGGTAGCATCAGGATAGCGCTCGTTCATGTCACGTGTCGCATTACGATACCGGACAAAGTCCATGATGCGGCGTCCGAACGACCGGATCGTAACAACAACGTCGCGTAAAATATGAATGGGCAGACCATAGAAGGTGAATAGAATGGCGAAGAATGTCAGGTACACCGTAAGTTTGAGGAAGTCTGTTAGAAGGTCAAGGTAGAAAATCCACCGGCCTTTCTCTTCCCACCCCGGCACATCCAATTCCATCTCGTTGACGTCGTTTTCATCCGGTAAACCAGGCAAAGTGGTTGGCTCTGCGGACTCGGTCTGTTGTCGCAGGGCCTCATCCCGCGCAGCTCGAATCTCTTGACGGCGTTCTTCCAACCTGGCCTTCAACTGCCGGTGGGTGATGTAGAGTTCAACCAAAGATATGGAATATCGGGCGGCGGTTGAGCTTGACAGAATGGTCAGGACAGCGAATTCAAAGCCGAACATGACCATCATGTCGGGTCGTGCTTGTTCAAGAACCGTCTGAACGCAGTATCTCAGCATGAACACGTTGAACAGGACTGATATAAGCAAGGACACAGCGAGCCGCAAGTGGAACAGGCGTGGATTCGCAGGCGGCTGCTGTTCGAGGTATTCTACGCGGCCCTCTCCGATCCAGCCCCAGACCTTGCCCACGAGCAGAGAAACGAACATGACCAGAAACCACCCTCCTAGCTCTCCACGAAAGATCGTCATCGCCAGACACGTTTCGGTGACAGCGAACCATGCTTTCTCATATAGCTGTTCGGTCTCGATGGGTCGGAGCGGTCCATAGAGGAGACGTTGGAGCCAAAAGAGGAAGAACCCAACGGCTAGAAGGCATACGTTCATCAAGATCTGAGAAATGTCGATTAGCCCATTCTGCGCAGAATTCCAATGATAGGTTCTCCTGTGCGCTTAGGGACGCAACGTGACCAACCATGCAGCGTGGGAGTAGAGGGCAGAGGTTTTACCATAAGATTTGCGCTACTCTGCGAAAGATATACACACGCGGCATAAAAGTTGGCCCTTTGATGTAGCGCTTTCAGAAAAACACCAGTGGCCAGGGCAGTCGAAGCCTATTTGTGGTTGCGATTCAAACGGATCAGCCTGAGCACAAACGGCCAGCATTATGGGAACAGAGCTAACTTACCCCGGCGTAGACGGCGAACCTCATGGCCAGGAATTGACGGGTGTGAACGACAAACTCCCAGTCATTGGCAAGGACACAAAGCGAAAGACCGAGAGTGCGAAGATTAGAAGGACATTGATTGAACTATGTGAGGATGAAGGAGGGGAAGGCCGTGGGAGGGGAGAGGATGGGGGAGGCAGTACTTAGTTCTGGACAGCTGGAGCAATCGGCAATCATTCCGCCCGCGGTCGGTGATGCCAGTTGACCATCTGCCGTCACCGCCTTGTGCCAATCTAGTGAATTGACAACTTACCTCAGCGGCGGCTGACTAACACTATAGTACAGTTGACGGCCATGATCTTATTTCGTCATTAGCCATCATCATGACTTAGTCAAGTCGGTCCTGTATTATCGCATGATTTCAGCCATAATTCCATGGCAGCTTGCCTTTTGGGTGTCAATCGTGGACTTGATTTCTATTTGCATGTTCAATTGTGGGGCACATGTGACACTGAGTACGTACAGTACTATTACTCAGTAGGAACTTTTGAAGAGACTCCCGAGTCATTGTGAGAGGCAACCCGAGCTCCACCTCACTTGTTCTTTATCTTTGGAAACACTGACCAGCGCTCCACCGGGCCGACGCGCGGTCATGTGACTGCTTGCGAGACATTCCGGAGTAGCACCACCACCAGACCGGTCTATTAAGTCAGTCTATGTTCAATGTTTCACAGACTTTACAGACAACGGTAACAAATCTGACGGCAGAGAACCGGGCTCGAATTCGAGGACCGAACGAGGACCAATTCACAGAGAGGACAACTGTGTACGTGTGTATGCGTGCGTCTTCAAGACAAAGGGGAAGATTGCCCTTGATGCTCTTTTGAGTAGTACTACGCACACTCGACTCCTCTGATCTCTCGAAACATGCTTTGGAACCATGGCTAGGATGACATCTCAACGAACACCTATCTTCACCGCTAGTCGGTTGCAAATATGCACATATTTGTTTGGAGTTTGCCCCTTTTCAATTGCATTTCTAGTTTTCCTCAATTCGTCTGTTTCCTTTGTTGTCACGGAACTTCTTGGCCTTGACGGGGGGGAAGGCGATGCTGTCGGGACTTTAGGCTTCGCAGATGAGCTGCTCGCTTTGGTTGCTTGTCCCCTCTGGGGAGGGCTCTCAGATCGAATTGGAGTCCGTAACGTGAGTGTACTTCTATGGTGCTGCTATAACCTCATTGTTTCTACTAGGAGCACTACTACTACAATTACTCACATGTATCTGTTTTAGGTTTGCGTGGCTGGTTATGGAATCATCGCCATCGCACTGGTTGTTTTTGTTCAAGCAAAGAATGTTTATCCTCAGCTTCTCTTAGGACGTTTGCTCTTCAGTCTTGGAGGCGCAGCGGTATCGACCATGGTCACGGCCGTGCTTCCGGCTGTGGTCGGACCATCATTACAGTCACAGCCCACTGTATCGAGTCGTGTGGCTGAGAGAGCGCCGTCCTCCAAGCTAGCTGGATATGTTGGAATGTGCGCTGGAAGCGGTGCACTAGTTGCCCTCCTCGTCTTTCTACCTCTGCCATCTCGACTTCAGCAGGGGGGAGTCTCACCACCACAATCCATTAAATATAGCTACTATGTCGTTGCGATCGTGTCTCTGTTGGTTGCTGTCTTCTGTTCTGTAGGGTTGCGGCACCTTCCTGGGGAGGAGGGCAAAGCCTGGAGTTCTTTATGGGCTCGGGGCCGACATGAAAGGCCGGAGGACACTTGTGCGAGTGATGACCGAGATACCGATTATAGCAAGCGACACTTGCCGTACTTCCAGCAGCTTGGCGCTGCGCTGATGTTAGGGTTCCATAACAGCGACATTCTCCTCGGCTATGTGGGCGGTTTCGTGGCTCGGGCATCATCTGTCGGAATCTCGTTATTCATTCCTCTAGCGGTCAATCACTACTATCTACAGTCTGGTCTATGCCAGGGCAACAACCGGGATGGAGCGGGCTCGGATGCTGTTAAGCAATCATGCCGTAAAGCTTATGTGCTGGCTTCGATTCTGACCGGAGTTTCTCAGCTCATCGCGTTGGTGGCGGCGCCGATTTTTGGGTATATATCAGAGCGGTCGCGGCAATATCCGATGCCCCTGCTAGGGGCATGTGTGGCAGGGGTGGTCGGCTATATCACATTCGCGCTGCTTCCCAGTCCAGACTTCAGAGGGCCCCACGGTAGTCCTGGCGTCTTCCTTGTGATGGGGTTGGTTGGGCTCAGTCAGATTGGGGCCATTGTCTGCAGCTTGTCTGTCCTCAGCACCGGAATACTCCGTGTGAGTGCTCAATGTCGGGTAGGTGATGGATATGATTCTTCCCCATCCACTCTCTATGGCGAGGAGACCGACGACGACCTGTTGTCGGCCGATGAGATTGAAGGCGACCAAGAGGAGCAGGCTTTGTTGACCTCAGCTACGGAACAAAACCAGCAGCCCCTGGCGCACCTGAGAGGTTCAATCGCTGGAGTGTATTCCCTGTACGGCGGCGCAGGCATTTTGGTCCTGACCAAGGTCGGAGGATTACTATTCGATGTCCTCTCGTCGGGGGCTCCGTTCTACATCCTAGCAAGCTTCAATGGATTTTTGCTCCTGGCGGGAATAGCCTGTGGGGTTGTTAGGCACTCGAAGACCCGCTAGGCTAGCAACTTAGATAGTTGGTTGGTTGGAGACTCGCGAGTCGGGGTTGATGGCTCGAGTCAGATCTGGCGGTGATGGCGGCGGCAGATGGAGCTTAGGCAGTGAAAGTATGGGGCTTCGACGATCTCATTTTCTCTCATTCTCTATATCTTGGTTGAGCGGGGAGTGCTAAAGTCCAGGGCAGACCTGTCAGCGACTCGACCCACAAGCCCATTTTCCTCGGGAGAACTTTCTTTGTCCGCAATGGATACTTCGAAAAGAATTGATTGATTCTTACTCCTCTAGTGCTTACACATGAACCGCGAACAAGAAGGCTGAGTGCCTCAGCCCACTTGACAAGCAGGGGTCCGGTTTATGCGCGAGTCTCGCGAAATGATGGTTTCAGCCCCCAATGCGCGCCCGGCGTTAGTGGACACTTAGCGGCAGCTTAGTTCCTGGCGATTCACTTCTTGCCTCTTGCCGGCTTCTCTAACGGTGGATAACCAAGTGATCTTCAGTCAGCTATTCTACCAGTACCAGGAACCATGGAAGCTCATCGGTCTAGTTTTGTGCTCCCACTCCCCTAACCGATCATTTGTTTGCTCGTCTGGACGTCCCCATGCGGCTAAATCAAGACAACATTGCGCCCATCGGAAAATCGGATCACATCGAACCAACTCTAATCGCCTTATGGCTTTCACGGCTCCACGCCAAAACTGGCGATCGGCCAGGGTCCGACCAGTGAGCTGAACCTCCCACGAGGATTGCCGCCCCCAAATGAGAGGGTCTCATTCTGTCGCAAGCATCGCATGCCATCCCCAACCAGTACACAACAGCCCTCGACGAGGCTCAGCCCTTGTCGCACCAGCGAGAGGGAACCAGTTGGGACAAATCTGTAAGAAACGGCCCTCGCGCGCCTTTTCGCCCCCAACTATTCCCTTTCCATACTCAGCATTCCAACTGCACATAGCATCGTTCTCCTTTCTCCTAAAGTCTGCACCCAAAAAGATTTTGTATTCCGTGGTTTGCATATAAGATATCTTGATTCCCACCTTTATCCTGCTCTATAACACTACATCCGGAATTTTCAATCTCCAACTCACAGCCACCATGCGTTTCCAGATTGCTTCCTCGCTGGCTCTGTTGGCCTCCGTTACGGCCGTTGTTGCCGATGACATTATCAACGTCTATCTGCCCGACACTGATGATGTTGGTCTTGCTGGAAAAGTGATTGGAACTGTATGTCATGGGATCCTTTACAGATCGTTGCCCGTGTCTCGGCTATCCAGAACATAACTGACTACTTGTAAATAGACTGGTGGTAGTCTCACCACTCTTGTTCTGGGCTGTGCTTCCACGACTTCTTCTGCTAGCGCTGCTACTGCCACCTCCGATGATGATGATGACGACAGCAGCTGCGACATTGAGGACGACACCTACACTCTCACAGTGGGCAGCTCCACCTACGGCATGGGCTTGTCTTACCGCGGAACGTCTGTGGCCCTTCTTGCTCTATACACCAATCTTTCTTTAACCTAACACCGTTTTCCAGTACCTACTCCCAAGGCTGCACCCGCACTGGTACCACCTACATGAGCTGCACTACCAGCGCCAGCGACTCCGAGGGCCCCAGCTCCTCCTCCGCTATCTACACCACCCCCTTGACCGCCATCCCCATAACCATCACCGGTTCTGCTTCTGCCTCCGCTACTGGTTCCTCGTCCGGCGCCGCCGCCACTGCCGCTGCCTCCGGCACCGGCTCCGCCTCGGGCAAGTCCACCGACTCTTCGTCCGCCAAGTCGACCTCCGGCTCCTCCGATGCCTCCGGCTCCAGCACCGCTGCTGCTAGTGCCAGCCCTAGCAGCACCGACAACGGTGCTCTGCCCTTGGCCACTGGCAGCTGGGTTGCCGGAGGTGCCGCCATGATGCTGGCCTTGGCCATGGCTTAAGCCAGGCTCCAATTGAACACATTCGGTCGAGACCCCCTTTCCGGTTCAACCTATGACCTATGACATAGGATTGGTCAGTGTACATATAGAGACTTGCTTTCACTCGGGAAGGATTTAAAGATTGTGCAAAGAGCCGAGCTTGCTGAGTTGGGAAGAAGGGAGGGAGGCGAAGAGGATGACGCTACCTGTTGTTCATGTACAATGTCACTTTGTGCGCTTACTCTTTAGAATAATGTCATTACCACTATTTGCCATTAAATTTTCACTACACGGGGAAAAGAAGGGGATGCGGGTAAAACTGCAGAAGACACCACGTCGCAGCCTTTGAGACTAAATTTGTTTTGAGGAGCCGCGAAGTACAATACGGAGAGAACATTATTCCCGTGCAAAGAGAGGAGTACGGAGGATGTAGCAGCATTGATCACTTGGCTTGGGTAATGACTATTAGCTACATACGCAAATTTAGGACTTCATTGGAACAACCCCGCGTCCCGGGACAAGGTGGCGGACCCAAACCCGTCGGACCTCTTACCACGCATTTCCCTGGGCTTGTCGTCGGCCCGTACCTCCAACCCAGCCCGAATGATGTTGGTGCGCAACAAGCGGATGTGCGCCTCGCGCAGGTAGTCCTCCAGATCATCGAGAACGGTTTCCTGCAACTCGGTTCGGAGGTCGACCTGGTTGGCGACCAGCACCTTCTTTTCCAGATCAATGCGGGCGTCCAGCGTGCCGTCCTGGATCAGCGCGACCAGCTCCTGCACGAAAGGCGAGGTGAGGTCCGTGTCCGGGTCGCTCTGTTGCTGGCCGCCGCCGCTGCCGCCGCGGGCATCGGTTTCGGCCAGGATTCCGGGGGCGAACATCTTCGACATGGAATCCAGGGTGACGCGGTTGAACGGGATGAGGTATTGCTGGATAGACTTGGTGCGGATGCGAGTGAAGAGGGTATGCACGTGACGTTGCAGGTGGATGTCGAGCAGATAATCCGCCTTGTAGGCCTCGAGGATCTCCAGGCAGGAGCGGAACTTGGAGTTACAGAAGAAGGCGATGGCGCGGCGGATCTGGGGCTCCAGCTCGAGGAAGTTGCGGAAGGAGTTGTTGTCGAGGACGCGGCGCTGGAGCTCGTGGCGGTCCATCGACGCCAACGCGCAGAGCCCGCCGTACACGGCCACGTCGTTGGAGGTGATCACCTCCGTGTACGAGTCGCCGAGGCCCGGGTCCGTGTTGAGGAAACTGCTGGCTGCATCCAGATAAGCCCCCGAGTGCAGCTGAGAGAGGCCCAACGCGGTGGACAACTTCGGCTGCACCTTGGACTGTTCGTCCTGTTTTGATTGCAGGTTGCGTAATCGGTGAACGTTGGACTGCACGCTCAACCAGTCGCCTCGCTCGATCGCCACGGTGATGATCTTGAAAAGCATCGAAACGATATGCGTCGGGGTCGTGCAGTAATCCCGCATGCGAGAATATGCCTTTGATGCCGACGTAAGATCGCCGATGAGGTAATAGTGCTGGCCCAAATCTTCATTACCCATCTATAGTACGCAGTTAATCATGTATGGCCTCTCCTCTTGAAATCCTCAGGGGTGAGGGGACAGCCATCCTTACCCGTATGCTTTCTTTAATCAAGTTATTCTTGTAGCCCTTGAGTTCATGCTCTAACCTGTCTGTTTCAGCCTTGACGACTTTTTGCATGTGGTCCACCCAGTGCGTGTCAAGTGTAGCCTCGGGATCATTTGGCGCCACCTCTGCAAGAGCCCGCGCTGCTCGTTCGTATCTGGTGACATCTTTGCCACTTTTGGCTTCGGCAATTGCGGCTTTGAGTGCCTCGACGGCTAGATAGGTTGAACATGTACCGATGACATATAGTCGATTGTACCTGGTCCGGCCTGGTGTCGAGATGCCGGTCAGCTCTGATGTGGACGACGCGAAAGCAAAGCAGCATTTGCCTACCAGTATAGTTCGAGATGTATGATTCCAATTCGAATTTGGGAGGATCTTGGGCGTGGAGGCTCATGGTTAGCGTTCAAACGAGCACATACTTACCGAGAACGTGTGGTTCATACCTTCGACCCTGATATTCAAGCTCAGCGGGCCTCCGTTGATGCTATCCAAGTCAACATTACCACCACCCGGGGCTTGGCCCATGTACGCGGCCGAGTGCTCGATGTGCCCGTCCGTTGGTAAGTAATCCATCCCTCCGACACGGCGTCAGCCCTGCTGCCGACGATTAAGACAGTATGCAGCAAGCCCAGAGTCGGGAGGTATCTCTGAGATGATGTTTCAAGCCCAAAGGTGCGTCGGTGAGAGGAAAACAGGGCAATAGAGGCAGCAGCGAATGTCGCGAGGCGATAGGTGAAGTGGAGAACGAGCTGATTCGGAGCCTGGAGCGGAGGTAATTCTAGATCTTTGGTGCAGGCTGTTGTTGATATGTCATAAAGGCATATAAATCTAATCTCAGACAGTCCAAGACAGGAGATGAGTCTTTGAAACGGTAGATGAATATTCCGGCTGGTGGTGGAGGGTGATTGAAGGTGAATTGACCTCGCTCTCTCTCTCCCACCGGGCCATCAGTATGGCGGCATCATTTGGCCCGACTTATCAGCACCGCTGCATACCGCCCGAGCCACCGCCTTGCAACCATGACCAATTCCTCACGAAATCCATTGGTATAGCTCGCCGGTTACTCGGCATGACCTTCAAAAAAGAAACTGCCCTATAAGATGCTATGTATGGAGGGCTCAAGATGGAGCCACAGAATTATAATCATGTTGTGTCCTGCTGTCACCATGGTCTAATAGCATATTATCAGCTCTATCCCTTTTGCTCTTGGTCCTATCGATCTTCAGAGTGCAGAGTCCTTGCAAGATGTGTCCAGGGTGCATGTGAACCTATCTCACAGTGACTGGATTCTAGCTTTGATCCGTCTTTCTTCAAGAGATTACAAATTAGTACTCATGATCGGGAATTGTTTTGATGGGATGAGTTCAGATTAAGCATAAACATCCGACGTAAGTGAACCTTGGATTAAACCAGTCTATCTTGTTAAAAGATCTCGAGTCTTTGAAAATGAAAGGTCCAACTCCTGAAGTATGATTTTTGACCTGCGCTGGAATTGATTGGAGCGAAAATAAATGGTCATCATTGTTTTGTCGTGGAAGAGGATAGCTCATAAACAGTAGCACAACCATTACACAAGAGAAAGGAAGAAATCGCTGCATCGTGAACTGAGAAAAACACCAAAGCAAAAGCAGTTGCCGATGTCCGACAAGAATCGAAAGCTGACAAATATTAGATATTACGCTAAAATGCCAAAATGATTCCCACACAGTATCGGGAGTGCGACAGGCGGGGGCGGCGGGTTTGCATCAGGGAGCCCTGCGGCGCGGGTTGAATCTAGATCAAGGTTGAGAATCCGGCCAGGAATGCGCCCACAACAGTCACCAGACCGTAAAGCTGAGTCATGTCTGTCGATGATCGGGGTGCTGCGCCCTCATCGGGTACACCAGTGAAGGGTGCCAGTGAGGTTGTGGTGGAAGCAGCAGTCGCAGCAGGAGTTGAGCTTGATGTCGAAGTGCTATTCACCCGCTTGGGGTCCTGCGCACCACAAGGGTGCTGGCTGCGACAATCCGATTGGCAGATGGAATTGCCGTTGCAGTTGGTGACACACTCATTGTTCTCTTCTGTGCAGATGAAGTACGGGATCGTCTGAGAATATTGTGAAGAGTTCGGGCTTAGGCCATTACTGCAGTCACAGACATATTGCAATGTTTTCTGAGGGCAATGATTCAGATGGTCAGACGTGCTCAGCCTGCAGGATCATGAAGAAGGGTATCACTCACAGGATCGCAGGTATTCTCCTTTGGCTGGCTCGTCGTTCCAGGCAATTGGAGACAGAGGAGCGGGCATGATGAAGTTTGAGCCTTACACCATTGAGCTTATCAAAGTAAAACAATCAGTCAGGATTGCGGGCAATCGCATAGTCCTCGTTGTTATCTAGGTGACGACATACTTCTCGTATCAATTGGAATGTCATTGACATTGATAGTGTAGGAAGAGTTCTGTCCATTGGCAAACAGGGCCAGGGAGGCGACAGCAACCACAGAATGCAACAGATGCATGATGACAGCTTCAAATGGCAGGTTAGTGACTGACGAACGATGCTTTTCGGAATAGAGTCCCTGTCGCTGCAGGGTCCCAGCGGTGATCTCCTGAATCTTGAACAAGATCTTCGGAAGGAAATGCCAGACGATGGAGACCAGAGGGTTTGGAGCAAGCAAGAGAGAGAGAGAGAGATAGGAGTGGGCTTACAGTAATGGGATGGGTCAAGAATGATATGTCAAATATGGGCCAGGGTCAAATGTGAGAGATCCTAGATCGAAGGCAGTGAAGCACGTCCTGGCGAGTGAAAGGGGCGGGGGGGGGCAAGGGTTCAGGATTTATGATTTCAGGAGATCAAAGGGTGAAGAAGACGGGTGGGGATTTGGAATTGGGGAATGAGGAATGGTGCTGGAGGCTCAGTATATGTAGTTTGTCCAACATCTTGTCTCGTACCACTTGGGTTCGTTACGCGAAGCGAGGTCGAGGTGGCGACGCTATGTGTTGATTAAGCTCCAGACGGGATACTAATGGAGCCAGTCATCCAAGAATGCACTTGGTATAGTATAGTATAGTATAGTATAGTATAGTGTAGCAATTAGTGCTGGATGGTCGTATTTTCCTAGTCGTAAGTTGGCTGAGATCAGAACAGTACGTTAACTTCGTCTCCTCCGTTACTTCCCCGAGGTCCGTGGCAAGCAAGCTAGTTAGCTAGTCGGCTGCCTTCCATGGCAGTGTTTATGCAGATAGGCTGGAAAGAGCCGGGAGGGCAAAACAGGGACATGCTATGCTATGATGTCCTCGATGTTTCGTGTTTGACTGGGTGAAGTGTATGTTTACAATCAGTCCCAACCTCAACGCAGAGAAGGGAAAGGGGAAGGGGAGAGGGCGAAGAGGGAGGAGACTCAAGCAGAGAACCTGGTATGTCGATCCGGAGGCCACTAGCCGATACAACTGACTGACTAGACTACCGTAGTATGAGTAGTCTAGACAGTCTAGTAAGTACGGACGAAGTGCTTACAGTACTGTACACAAGTAGATACACAACCTCCCTTTTATCGTTTCCAGGCTGGGATGGAGTTACTATCTTTAGTTTATGACCCTAGTGGCTGGCACTTGACTGCATGCATTGCAAGTGCATCCGTGACAATCATGCTGATATTTGAGGATAAATGCAGTGCTGTAAGAGAAGTAGGAGGAGGAGGGGGAGAAAAAGGTGATAGTGGTGGGAGCATGTCTCAGTGAGATGCTGGTGACTACTAGCCTTCGAGTATCGCCTCTTACTAGGGGGAAAACGATGTTTTTTTTCGGGTCTTCGTCGTCCATCATCCGGACAAAATGTCTCAATTGCAAAAGGGTAGAATCCCTCGTAAACACGCTGATTGGGGCTGGACCCTCTTGGCTTTTTCTAGTCTGGACCCTGAAGGCAGCCTAGACCATAAATGGCATTTATCTCCATCCACTGGGCTAGTTTCCAAATTGCTGGCTCTTCCGACTCGCCGACACTCTTCAGACTTCGCAGTGAAGCCAGTCTGTCTTCAAACTTGCTGACACGTCCGCTGGGAATGGAGTGGGGGAGGTCACCGTTTGGTGGCAAAGACTGGGGCAGTAATGTAATAAATGGAGGACGTACACAACACAACTCAACTCAACTCAAATGAACTCAGTACATATTAGTTTAGTGTAATCGTGTCTTGTCGTCCTTTGCCTGTGGTTCTAACTTCTCACATGACTTGCCGCCTTTCTCGAGCAGTAACTTAGTCATCCCGTGACCTGGAGGCGGCTTGGACTGTCTGGGATGGAAGCTGCGGGAAAGTTGCCCGGTGGTGCCATGGCCCATTGTAGTTGTCCTCGTCGCCGTCGGAGTCTGCCGATGATGATCGCCGCTTCAATCATCATGCTGTCCACCAGAAACTGTCCCTCAGACCAAGAGACACTTACACTTATGACGCTGACACCGAATCGATAGGCACTAAAAGCGAATTTCTTGGATCATGTATGTATGTCCCACGGTCTGAAACATTTTCAACTATCTTATCAGCTCCTCTTCCCGTGATTCAATTCCCCCGCACTTTCTTCTCTCTCCCCCGTTCGTCCAACGTACAGTACTAGTCTACCTACCGGATAACGCCCTGGACGTGGCTTATTGTGACCGGTCATCGGTGACTCTGGCATGCATCTGACTGTATTCTGTACGCCTAACGGACACAGACCCTCTTACCCCTCTTTCAATTCCTCTGCTTGGAACCACGGGAAAGCTTCGAGGGCTGTTCTATTCAGTCTTAGTGGACGTTGAGCTTGATCTGGGTTATTCTCCGCTACCGGTCATTTTCCTCCTTAAGCTTGCATCGTGATTGACCTGACCTGACCCGACCTATTCTTAGTGACAGTCAGGATCGTCTCCGCCAAATCTGCCGATTGACATTTAGATGGATGGAGCCAGCGAATGAGGACACTGGCCTCGTGCCTTCGCCGCACCCAAACTCACCCTCCTCCGAACCTTCGGCTACCTCCAGCACGGACAACACCATTCCGAACACAAATACATCTCCCTCCAATCCACCCATCAACGGTGATGACACTCCTTTCCTTCAAGCTCGGGATGCCTCGAGTAATGAGCGCCCGATTTCCGGGATAGTCCCTCCATATTGGACTCATCACAGAGCTGCTTCCAGAATCTCCCAAATATCTCTCGACGCTGGCCCCGCTATTACCCTCGAAGACCACACGGAAGATCCGGAATGTGAGACTAGTCGTGGACTGTGGGCGAAAAGCGTCTCGGTTGATGATTACGTTGTCGTTCAAGGGAAGACGGGGATTGGGTCATACGTAGTTTGGAATTGCAGGGTCCAAACACTCGATGTGAGTTAGGCCGTGCCAAACATGCGCTGATGCTACTCTGAGCACTGTGGAACATCGGTCAGGTACTAATAGTTGCTCTAGGGTGGCCCTATAACAGTTCGCTTGAGGTAGGCTTTTCGCATTGTCGCCTATATCCAAAGTTGCTTAGTACTTATTATTCTGCTCAGGTATTCGGAGTTCGACGACCTGCGACAACGCCTCATAGTATCATTTCCGCATGCCAGAAATGCCCTTCCTCCCTTACCTCCTAAGAGCGTAATCTGTATGTGTCGTGCAAGCTGCATAAGACAGTACATCAGCTCACTGATCCCTTTAGTCAAGTTTCGCCCCAAATTTCTTGAATCGCGTCGCGCTGGCTTGGAATATTTTTTGAAGTGAGTTGCGTCATGGGGTGTAGAACCGTGCACGAATGCGAATAACTGACATTATGGCTCGAAGCTGCGTTCTACTGAACCCTGAATTTTCTAGCTCTCCGATTGTCAAGGATTTCCTTTTTGGACGGACGTGCTAAGGGGATCGTGCTCTTTGCCCTTACCATAAACAACCGCCATTCCGTTACAATCACGACGTCAACGAATTGACTACCTATTCACCCCTGGATTCATGTCTTCGGAGAAAGGAGGCAGATATCATTTTACGTATATATATTGCATTCAGCACATTGTACCGACTCAAACAAACTTCTGTGGAGATCTTAGCGACCATTACAATCATTCATGTTTCGTCTTATCTTGGACATAGTTAATATCACAGACTCTGTTGGGGATGCACTGTGATAGATGTTTGGCAATGGATTATATCGATTCGATACAGTCAGCCTTGATCCATCACTTTGCAGAAAAGTCTCTACGGGATTGGGGGCTCATGTGATAGTTCCCCGAAAGTCGGAGTGGCCACCCGAGTCATGTGTCAACCATTCGCCGCCGTCCCGAGGAGTGAAGCTTATACCTCTGGGGTGCATGCGTTCCACGTGCTACCCATTGCCCATGATCTGGAACCATTGAGGCCTGGAGCCTATTTAATTATATTCAGCCGCACATCACTTATAGTATTGAAGTAGCGTGACGTGTGGGCCTCATCCGGAGCCGTACCTCACACATCCTCATAGCTAGTGCAGCTAGCTTTTCTCACCGGCCGCAATGACCACTGATGTGTGTGCTGTATCGCTATCATGTCCCTTTACCTTCTGCATGTGCTTCGAATATTTCTTGCCCGCAATGAGCCACCACAGTAGCTCGAGAAACAAGAATCCACCGACACATACACATGTATAGTTCATGTTCGATACTATTCCAACTAACTGTCAGCCAACGGGCCCTTATATTCCGTAGACCGCTAGAGACGGCCTCTCCATAACAACTGGGTCATTCACTTACCGGTCACAGGCATCTCATAAGGGAACGAAAAGAACACGATGGCGAAAATCAACCAGGCCACCGTGATGATATTGACCGTCATCCCCACAGCAAAACTCAAGGTAAAGGGGCCGTGATGCATGGTTTGCCGACGGAGTAGGACGTTGGTCAAAATCGGCACAAGATAAGCGAAGTTGTTGATCGTCCTGCGTTGCGATGATGGCAAAGTCAGCTCTGGAGCTTCCAAGATCGATTTCTTGACTGAGTGAAGGTCACATACACTGCAGAACTCATCATTGAGTTGAAGGCCGTGCTAGAGCCCAGATAAATGCACCCCAGAAGAGCGACGATGATGCCGACAACTAGCTGGGCGTTAACCGGAACCCCATATCGAGGGCTGACTTTTGAGCAACTGCAGTGGCCGTCAGCATATATTCCCTTCACTGTTGGGCATTGGCAAGGCTTATATCGAAGACTCACAATCTCGAGAATGGAAGACCGCCGTCTCTGGCGAAGGCCCAGAACATTCGCCCCGTGCCTGTTCAAAGGGAAAGCAGTGTTAACATGAACACTCGGGGGGTTGCAAGGCCCAGGCACATACTAAGTTGCGAGCCAATCATGCACGGGCCTACTGCTACCCACAAGAGGAAAACAAGCGCAAAAGCACCTCCTCGGCTCTGGGTTGCCTGGCGAAAGATCTCCGCCAGAGGCAGGCCCGTGGGCGAGTCAGCAAGAGTCGTGTAGTCTTGGACCGAAAACATCAAAGCTAGGAGATAGGACAATCCTGTCACAAAAGCTATGCCAAGAGTGCAAGCTTATCCGGAGTCATAACACCTGTCAGCGAGACTGTATTGAACATAACCTCGGCTTGGATAATGGTTACTTACCAAGAGCCAACGGAGCATTCCTTCCAGGCTGCGAGAGGTCATTTTAACGGAGTCAGCGCCTCTTGGGGAAGGTAAGTACATACGTTCGGCATCTCCTCTGTAATATGCTTTTCATGAGAAGTCAGCCAGAAGCTTCTTAGATCAGGCAATTCTGGCAGGGTATGGCTCTTACCGTGATCCCATCCAAGCCACCCAGAGAATACAGTGGATTTACCAAGCCGGTGATAAAGCAAATGACATTATTCTCCCACCCAGTCTCATTGATCCAGGTACGGAACACGAATTCAGCATCATTATGTTTTGGGGCAGCCGCCGCCACAGTAACGAGGATGGCAAGCCAAGCCAATTGAAGATAGCACACTTTATCGTTTGTGAAACAGAATGGAAAAGGTCAGTTCATTCGCAAGACACAGAGGACTTCATCAGCCCAAGACTTCCACTTACGCGAGAACTTGTTAATTGCTGGCATCCAGTTATTCCCAAACATGACAATGGCGCACGTAAGAAGATTGAATCCCTGATATGCCACGAACGTCATCCAAGGCCGCAGCACGAAATTGGTTTTATATAATCCAACGAGGGCCATGAAGTTGGATGCGTAAACCAGGTTCGTCGAGGCCGTGGTGAAGATCCCTATCAAAGGCAGTGAGCACTGATCTGGCACAATGGACTGTAGTGAAGAAGAGGCTTCTGCATACATCCAAAGACGGTGCTCCAGCCGGTTGCGAAGCTCAACACATCGCTATAGCGATGGGGGGCGATTGCTGCGATCCAGTGATACATGCCACCTTCCACCGGATACGCCGAGACAAATTCCGCCAGCGACGTGGCCAAGAAACACTGCAGGATGAAGACCAGGATGAATCCGTAGATCACTACACGAGTATCAATCGTTAGCTCATGTGGTTCGATCTTTCTTTGTTGCTTCCATAGTACCAGGAGGGGGGGAAGCCGCATACATGCGCCTGGTCCTCCCGCATTGATCGAGGTGATCAACCCCAGTCCGAGTCCTATTGAAACAGAGACTTTATCAGCTAATAGATCGATTGCGCATCTCCTACACATCTAGCCTTGGTGCCTCCCCCCTAGATGCATGGAATACGAGAGACAACCCCAACCCACCGGTCCAAGAAATGGTACAATTGGCCGCTAATCCAATCAGACTCCATACCGAGAAATGGCGCTTGAGCTCCTGTTTATGTCCTAGAGTAATGTCGGTAAAGTTAGTTATGAATCGCCATCATCGAGACATAGTCAGTCCTCATGCGCAGAGGGGAAAACGCATCCAATCCAGACGTACCCATCTGCGCCAGACGCAGCTCATCTGCATCCTGGAAATGAACGCTGCTGGACCCATAGTCGTCATATGGTCGCGCCGGGACAGGCGCCGCGGCCGTCTTGGAATCACCCATTTCAACGCAGTGTGGGGAGTTAGTTGGTGTACTCAGGATGGATGGAGAAGTCCCCTCGGACATTGGGAAGATGGAGGAGGAGGGGTGGGGGAGGTGAAGGGGGGAACGAGTGCGTTACTCAAGGGATGCATGCGCGTGAGAGGGCCCTATAGCTACTAAGTATAACCCCATCGTTTGCACCTTATCAACCTTATCAGAATGATTGGAGGGCCTGCTTATCGGTCGGTGGCACTGGCACCGGTCATCTGGGGGGAAATCGCCGGTTGGCCGAGTGAAATCGCCGGAGAATAAATTGGCCTGGAGTCTGCAGTGATCTGAAGGGAAGAGTACGAATCAGAGGGCCATTTGCCAAGGAGGTATTCGGACTAAGGTTAGGTAGGTAAAGTGTACTCCGTACTAGTAGATGGGATGATAATCGCATTAGATTGAACCGAGGTCCTGGACTATACCAGAAAAGGTTGAGTCTCTGCGAAAGAAAACCCGACGGTTCTAGGGCTCGACAAGATATGTAGGAGTGAACCTTTGCAAGTCATTAATATTATACTGTCTATGATCTATATATACTGACACCTGTCCATCACCAGCCCTTGCTTGTCCTCGTGTCCCATTTATTGCAGTCATAAGTTCATCAATCGGTAGGCCAGAGACATTATGGAAGAAGAAGACATGAAAATCATTGAGCCAGGACTTGTTATACATCCTCGGTCGGTCGGTTCAAGCAGTCATTTAATCGTGGAAATCGCGAACAAGCTCGAACCGAGGGGTCCCCTTTGTGTATTGTCACCACAGTGGGTTATCGAGGAGAATGATGAAGCATGACGTGAAAAAGGCGTCCTCGAACAGGTCTATTCAAGCGGTTGAGGACCTTTAGTTCACCATTTAGCTCTTCGATCAATGGCTCTTGTAACCACCTTTGCTGGGGTCGGCGCTAGGATTGAGAGGAGCAAGTGTGCCCTCTCCAAACTCGCGATACGCCTGTTCTCTCGCGATGGACTTGTCACGCCGGATGGTCAAGCAGTTGATACCCAAGAAAGTCGTGATTCTGTTGATGACAAGGAATGCCCAGTGCATGTATGCGACGAACGCTACCAAAAGGTAAAGACGTAAATAGAGTAGCTCGAAAGACGCGCTCACCATCGGAAGGCCCAGACGCGGTAGGTTGGCCAGGATAGCACCTCCGATGAGCGGTGTCTGCAGCACCGTCCAGTACGGGAATGGCTGTCTCAATAAATGAGCAAGAATGATCTTAGTCGTCATGCGCCCAAAGACGAAGGAGATAGTCCAGCAATACAGAACCAGTCGGTCCTGAGATAGCAGAGTCGAATACGGAGAGAAAAGCCAGGCAAGGTTGCAACCAGTGAAGACGATCATGGGCACCCATTCCTTGAAAATAGGTGCAATGGGCAGGCCTTGTTTCCGGCGCGCAGCTACAACATTGAGGACACAGCCAGGAAGATGGCCAAGGAAAAACGACCCAAGAAGAATGGGAATCCACAGGTCCTTCATGGAGTTGTTCCCGAAGATTTGCGGGTAGTTCAAGAACTCAACGATCGGTCGGGACCAGATCTGAGGCCCGTAGACACCTGACGCGATCATGATCGCAATCGCGATAAGCAGACCCTCGGTAGGACCGTTGAAGTAACCGAGATAAAGGGTGTGCGTATGGTACGTTTCCCAGGTCGAGAAATACATTGCGAGGCACGGAACCAGAGCTGTATATGCACCTAGTTTCGACGAACCGTAGCCCATCGCCGCCGTCTCAAGCAGACTAGCCAGGGTGCAGTTCAGCGAATCGATGCCATGGCTGCCCAATGTTAGTTCCCTATTGTCATATCATAGATAGACAAGAATGCTTACTCAAAAAGCTCTCCCAAACCACTAGAGGTGCCGGTTCTGCGCGCTTGTTTCCCATCGACGTTATCCAGAGTGGAGTACCTTGCGCTGGTCAGTGACACTAGAACACCAAGACCAAGGGGTGCAGACTCACATCCACATGCCAAAAGCGAAGCTGTAATATAACCAAGAAGGACCCTTCGCACACAACTGTTCAGCCTCGAGATGGTACACTGTAGGGTGGTGATCTTACTGGGCCCACAAGATCCGGCATATAAATCTCTATCAGCATCACGTTCCCAACGATGAAAAGGAAACCCAGTAGGGTGACCATATTCGGGGCCAACGAGAGTGGTAAAATCTCAACAAATGCATTCCACTAGTGTGAAGTCTCGAGGGTCAGACAAGCGGGCGCAGGCGATTCTTAGGGGCAACCTTACGTAGTGCCTAAGTATATAGTTCGAGATGAAGGACTTATCGACGCTCTGATATTTGTAGCTCTTCAGAGGCATCAAGATATCATCTGAAAGCGAGTCCTGGATCGCTACGAGACGCGCAGGGAGAATTAGCTCTACACAAGCACAGAGCTGGGGAAAGTACCGAAGCAGAATTGCATGAACACACCTTGGATCCTTCTGAAAATTACGCTCATTCTGGATTGTTATATGTATGACGAAGAATGTCTCGGAAAAACGATTTAGAATAGTCAGATATGGCGCATTGCGCGGTATGCAATTGAAAGGAGGAGAATAGTTCGCGAACAATCACGGATCCTCAATGTACCGATTGAGCCCTTCTATGATTACGTAGTGCTGAACGCTGATGAAAAAGCAGCCAAGGGCAGTAAAGACGGGGAAAAGAAAGTCCTGCCTTGAGTCTGCTGGAGAGGAGGAATGACTCTAGAGGGAGAAAAAAAAGGAAAAGGAGGGCCTCGGGTTCCAAGTTGGATGATCCCGGCTACAAGAAAGAAGGAAGAGAGGAACGGGAACGGAATCACGTGTCTGCTACCGTGCTCCGCAAGCTTTCGGCGCTGGAAACGCGAAATGGAGGGAAATTGAAGTGAACCTCAATTTCAGTTTTTTTGTGTTATTCCTTCTCGACGCCCATTCTGGGTCCTGCCGCTGGAGAGTGCCTTCTTTCTCCTGATACCGCGACCAGACTATCGACCAAGCCGAGCTCATCTCACTCCGCCTTGTTCTGCCTGTTTCCCCGCCGTTGAAGCTCGTCCTACCGATTCAGCCGATAACCTCTTTCTTAACCCTGTCGCCCAAGACCATTCGACAATCGCGTCCGAGGTGAAAGGAAAGTGATATCAGGTACTGGTCTCGTCGCTCTTTGAGCCTGGACATGACGGTGGATGGTCAGTGTGGCGCTCGCGGCGCAGTGCACGACTGAGTATACCCTGCGCCATGCCAGGCGTCGTCGAGCCTCCTTCCGGGGCTCCTAGGCCGGACCTAGGCTTTACTGTCGCGCATCAGAAGGTTGAGCTTGAAATCGACTTTGCGACCAAGAGTCTCAAAGGAAAGACCGAGATCACAATCCACCCACATCACAAGGATCTTCGCGTATTACGACTGAACTTCCGGCAAGGCGAGCTGAGACGTCTGAATGTCAGTGGGAAGGTACCGACGGTCAAATACGTGGATCAGTATGAGACACTCCAATTATATGGCCCTCACTATCATCAGCGTCTTTCGGCCAAGATAGATGGACTGCTCAAGATGCCGCCAGAGCCCGATTTGCTCGTGTCCGTCCCGAAAAGCGTTCGGATTGACGAACTCGATCCTTTCTCTATCGAAGCCCAGGATCAAATGACACTACGTGCTACAGGGGCAGCGGACGAGGGTGAAGGGCCTTTGAGCTCTAAGGCAGCAGAGACCTCACTTCCGCGGTTTACGGCATTGACATTGTATATCGAATTTGTCACCGACAACATACGAGACGGGCTACAGTTTGTTGGGGTCGAAAGTGGCGACAGACGCTATCCCCATGCCTACACAACGAATTCGCTTGGATATGGAGTCGGTTGCCCGCTTTTCCCGTGTGTGGACGACCCTGCTTCACGTTGTACATGGGAAATATCGATCAAATGTCCGTGTACACTGGGCGATATGTTCGATCGCAAGCTGGGGGACCAAGCAAATTTGGGCATTTCTGGCCGGTCAAATGCTCCTGGACCATATATTGCCTCGGACGATGAGGGATTGGATGTAGCGGTTGTTTGTTCCGGCGATCTTACGGACGAGATTATCGACCCGAAGGATTCCAGCAAGAAAACAGTTTCCTTTGCTTGTTACTCTCCCCTCTCGGCACAGCAGGTTGGGTTCGCCATCGGCCCATTTGAGTACGTTAATCTAGCCGATTTTCGCGAAAGCGATCAGGATGAACAGCTTGGTCAAAATGCGATTCCTTTGCATGCGTTCTGTCTCCCCGGTAGGGCGGACGAAGTTCGCAATACATGTTTCCCTATGGCGAAGGCTATAGACTTCTTCTCGCTGTCATACGGCTCTTATCCGTTTTCAAGCTACAAGGTCTGCTTCGTAGATGACTTGCCCGAAGGCACACTGCCAACGGCCTGTCTCTCCATCTGCAGCAGCCACCTGTTGTTTCCTGAAGAAGTCATTGACCCAATGTATGATTCGACTCGTACTTTGGTTCATGCTCTCGCATCCCAGTGGATTGGTGTCAATATTGTCCCAAAAGAGCCTGCTGATACCTGGGTCACAGTAGGCGTCTCTTGGTACATCACGGATACTTTCATGCGAAAGCTTTGTGGCAACAATGAATATCGCTTTCGCCTGAAACAGATGTCTGATAAAGTCTGCGATCTTGATTATGAACGACCATCAATCCATGACATGGGAAACATCCTGCACATAGATCCTTCTGAGATCGACTTCATTGCGCTCAAAGCTCCCCTCGTTTTGTTCATTCTCGACCGGCGGCTCACAAAGGCTAGCGGAAAAGCAACAATGTCTCGGATCATATCTCGACTATTCTTGAACTCCAGAATGGGCGACATACCAAATGGAGCCGTCACCAGTTCACTCTTCCAGAAGACTTGTGAACGACTTGGTCATGCAAAGCTGGATGCGTTCTTTCAGCAGTGGGTATACGGTGCTGGGTGTCCCCGTTTCCAGGCTACGCAACGTTTCAACAAAAAGAAACTTGTTGTCGAAATGATGATAAGACAAGTCCAAGCAGATCCCTCAAGTACACGTGATCTAGACAAAAACGCGTTCATGCGCGACGTGAAGGAAGAAATACGCAATGTCTACGCCGGAGTTGTCCAGCCTGTGTTTACCGGTTCCATGACTATTAGGATCCACGAAGCTGATGGTACGCCTTACGAACACATTGTTGAGATCAAAGAAGGAGTCACC